CTTCGTTAAAATATTAATCTTTTAATATAAATAAGGTATTTGATGTGCCTAAGTGTTGAACATGATGAATAGAACTTAATGGTTACAATTTAGCTGTTAAGAATCAACAGTTAATCAATCAAAATATTAAACCAAACAATCTTTATGAAGTTGGATAACTGAAAAAGCAGTGCCATACAAATTTTCTTGATAAACTTTCTAACAGGTTATACCCTGGATATACATTTTACCATAAAAGTGTGTAACTTATTTTATTCTCTTTTATTTTGGGGAGAAAAATAAATTGTATATAAAGTTTAGTAAATGGTTACATTGCATTGGTGTTATTTGTAAAGTACAAATCAGTTTGTTGCTATTGAAGTGACTAACAAACTTATTCGGTATATCAAATTTCAGAGAATCTTATAATCCTAACCTTAACTGTTTACGCCATAACATACAAAATTTATTTTTTCTTTAGAGCAACTACATTATCATTATAAACATACATTTGTCTAATACTTTGCATTACTTTTGATCTGATACCACATCTGATTGTTTGTCTTGAACATGACATATGAAGTAGAATTAGATGATCAAATATTTCTTATTTGAAAAGGTCAATAAAATAGTAAATATGTTTACAAATATCATTTAGAAACTGTTGTTTAATGAATTCTTAAAGCTATCAGTATAGTAATCCTACTAGAAATCTATTCATTCTTCTAAATAAGATGTAAATGAAAATTAACGTACTAATAATTAAAATCACTTTCATTAATCTGTATATTTTCTCTGTACCCATAAATGTTGAAATATATATAAACATTTATTGGTTGAAGTTAGCGGCCGGCTCAGTAGTCTAGTGGTTAAGCGCTCGCGCTAGACCGATAAATCCTGGGTTCGAATCTCATGAGGTGGAATCGTGGATGTGGACTATTGAGGAGTCCCACAGTAGAACTAAACAGCCATTTAATTCTTCCAGGTTTTCCACGGTTGTCTAGCTTCAATTGGCTCATGATCCCAACTATTGAAGTTTATTAGTAAGTTTATTCAAGGTAGTAAAATAACCATTTATCTGAAGTCTTATTATTATTTGGCAATCATCTTTCTGAATTGATGACACTAATGATTTTCGTTTAAAAACAAAATAATTTAATGATATAATTAAAAAAGAATCATCTTTGCTAACCATAGACTTCATTAATCTTTCTTGCTAGACAGAATGGGTAACAAGAACATGAAACATATATATGATAGAATAAATGTTGTCTCTGTTCCATTTACAAATCCCCCCCACAATGTTAGAACAATATCGTTATGCGAGGACAATGTTCGTTATTTGTTATCAGATGTCTAATTCAAGTCAATTGCTGGTGTATCGAATGAGTATATTGAACAACTTTTGCTTTCTCTGTTACAAATATTCAGTATATAGTGAGACATATCAAAAACATGATCTTTTATCCTATTACGACATATCCTGAGGTTGAATCCTGCTAACTATACTGTCGGATATTTGTTAAGCGTTTTTAAATATTATCTAATTCGAAAGTGTCTAATATGTCTAGATTGTCCAAATAGTTCTTCTGAACATATTTTATATATTGCTCAGTTGTTGAGAATTGTGAGGTTATGTATGAATGGAGTGAACATAGCACAAAACAGCAGAGTATACGTATTTGATTTGGCTAGAAATAGAAAAATGAATTTAGTGTTATCAATAAAACCATAGTTTGTAAGGAAAATGATAGAAGAAAGTATCTAGATTTGCTTTAGAACTAGTACTGTTCCCATCTTTATGTTTCCACTATCCATTGTCATGTTGAATACTCATTTTTTAACAAATGATAGACCAAATTGTTGACAGATCAAAGCCTTTAGACAATAGATTTCGTTTTAAGATAGTTACCAAATCCACTTTTACTGTATTTGTTCCACTTACATGAATTCTTCTAATATTTATATGTAAATTAAATGGGATTTTGTACAGAAATTTCTCGGAGCACGTTCATTCCATCATTCTTGATTTTAAACTATATATTACACTTTGAATTTCAACAAAAATATCATGAAGGAATTCTCAGAGAAACGACTCATCAGTCGTAAACAACTGATTATTGTAATCTATGTGTTTCTAATGGAATTCAATAACATATTTCTTTTTCATTTACTTTTAATCTAATGATTAACTTCTGTTTCCTTAACATTTAGTCACTGTGATCATTGTAAACAAAATTTCACTAATAGGCATATAATTAGTTAATTGAAATGTTTGGTAATCCACTTACTATTAATGGTAAAATTTTGAGTTTTTACAGTGTTAATTAAATTGATTACGTGATATTTAAAGAGTCCTGGTCTATTCGACAGTCTTCATAGTACTGTGTATGAAATATGATTATAAAAAAATTTCCACGAAAATTAGCCGATCCTGACAAAATGAGATTAACTAGTACTGGGTATACACTCAAATGGTTTGGTCCAGAATCTTGACGAAATTTATTAGTTTAATGGATGGTGGTCGACAGGAAACCCTGTACTCGGGTTTCGTGCTACTTGATACTCGTCAGCAAGGTGTACCTGTAATCTTGAGAGAAACGGTGCTCCCTGGCGGATTCGATCTTGTGTTACCCAGCTTCTTAGTCAGAGACGTTACCACTGAGCTATCCGAGCCGCGACTGACCTCCTGTAGGACTGAGGTATAATCCCAATTGATTTATCACTGGGTGGCGATCAATTTCATGCGCGTTTAGTCCTTGTTAGTGCAGATCGAATGCTATCGATTATGTTGCAATGTGGCCACCAGTTTAGGTGACTCGACACTGCGGAACATTTACTTCTACACCCTAACATTACGTGATAATAAATTAAATAGTTATTTATTAGCACTATATTCAATTCATCAAAACAGTTTATATTGTGTTTCCCATTTTCTCACTTTATAGCTTCTTTATTCAATTTTGTAAATTTTACTTGAGATACAATATAATTTTAAAATTTTCTTGTATATTGAATGCATCAACGAATATTTGCATATTCTTTCTACGTAATGAATTAAGTGTAATGTAGAGATACTACTTATCGTTCTCGTGTTGTTAGTAACCAAGTGACATGAATTAATGTACTTTGTATAACTATTAGCCTTTTTCTTTTCAATGGGAAATATTCAATTTTCATTTATCTTGATAATAGTTATATTTCATGATATAAATTGTCAGTGAAACTGAATAACTTTATCTGAAAGAAAAAAACTGAATACCAGTTATCTCGATGAAAGTTATTTTTATTTATGTCTCCAGTTGATACATCACTGACATATCACTGAAGTGATATGAATAAAATTTCACACTGACGAAAAAATTGTATTTGAATCGCCTTCTTTTAAAGTAAATATAACTGCTTATTCCAAGACATATATACAAATACTGAAGGAACAATGTAGAGATAATAAGGTTAACTTAATTCGAGGCAAAATTCATTGGAAAATGGTGTGTTACAAATATATTTCATATTTAGTGTGTGGATATACATGAATCCCGTTGCAAAATTTCTAGTCCTTTTATCTAGCTTAATAAACAGTTTGGGATATACAGTCTCCAAATACGACATGCGGAAGGAAATCAATACTGATTCAAATGGAATTGAAGGTGAATATAAGGTCAATTTTCAAAATGTTCGTATTAAATAACCAAATGAATTTTCGATATATTTTTGCTACAGTTTGTGTACAGTGATACTTACTAAAGTTTATTATTTCTAATCCTCGTAACTGGTATTTAATGGATTAATTTTAATAAATTTTTCAATTCCATTAGGGTCATCATTAACAAAGCTTTTGTTATGATACTAAATCTCAACCAATCCACAAAGTTACGCAGTCATCTTAGGTTAGACATTAACACCATTGGATGCCGGCTCAGTGGTCCAGTAGGTTAAGCGTTCGTGAGCGAGACTGATGGTCCTGGTTTCAAATCCTATAAGCGGGGTCGTGAATACGCACTGCTGAGGAGGCCCACAGTAGGAAAAAACGGCCGTTCAGTGCTTCCAGGGTTTCAATGATGGTCTAACATCAATCGGTTCATGATCTCAATCAATACTTAACAATCACCACAACCCCTATACTGATGATTACATTATTGTTATTCTCCAAATGGTTATACTAGTTTTTGGCTGAAGTTACTTAACTAGGAATTGTTATTGTGAAAACTGTACAACATAAGTTATGGGAATATGTTTTAGTATTTTACTGTTATTTTTAAGAATTTCATCATTTAGTGGAAGTGTGTTTGATATAATCTTTTTAACATGTTTAAGAGTAATTATTAATGCAAAATACTCTTCTAATATGGTTACACTTACCTGAAATAAACCCGTTTCAACATATTACTGTTACTGTGCTTTAAAATTTATGGTATACTGTAATTTAGGTAAGTCATTAATCAAATGGAGTTTCATATACCCGTCATTGAAGTCTAATTTTTTATGAAGGCATGATTTATAAACTGAATACTGTTTGCAGTAATATTCGTTTACGCATACTGCTTTCGAAAGATGTACTTTAATGTCGGATAAACGGGCGTCTAACTGCTTATATTTACATGAATTTAAAAAAACGGGTGATCAACTATTTTTCAAAATAAAAACTTAAATCTGACTTAAACATCCCATCAGCTTATCCTTCCAGTTTGCTTATTTTAGTGAAGGTTATCATTTATAGGTTGTGAAAAACACGGCTAACAGTTGTTCAGTGTTATTATGCTTATCAATTTGTTGCATAATGTTTTTCATTCTATTATCAATAATCTATGAGTGATTTAGATATTTCTCATTTCATTGAACACTGAAGCTAAGTAATAACCTGTTCGTTTTTGCATTCTATTAGCGATAGCCTTTTATTATACTGATATACACTCAATAGCTAACGATACTTTAAAATATTAAATAATTTGCTTTTATAATAATTTCGAAGTACGATATCTCACATTTATCTTTTAAAATTTCAAATTTTTTACTTTTAGCTACTTTTGGCCCTTTTAAGTGCAGCTGGTTACAACACTGCAAACATGATTCCAGTTAGTGTGTTTCGATTTTTGCAATGGTTAGGTAAGTTGATTTGAATTGTGAATAAAAGTTCGTTGATAATCTATTACATTTTATTCTATAAAACGTGAATCACATATAGATTTTTCATTAGCAGTCCCTTATACTGATCGTTTTTTTAAACATTGAATGTTCCACAATTAATCACAAATCATGGTTTTCTGATGAACAGATACCTGCCCTGTTGAATAGGAAATACCGGTTCTACATTTAACCATTATACTTGTCTTAAGCTCTCACTACTGTCATCTGTCGTTACCGATAATTCCTGTCTCAATTTTAATAAGATTGTAATTTATCTTTTACAAGCTTCAAAGTGTTTTCTTAACGTCACTCATTAGTTAACAATCGTTGATTGAGATATTTTTCACAACAGTATCTTTGTTAAACAACATTGAGCGATCCCATAAAAAAACTAAAACTATTGAAGTATGCATCGTGGTTATAGTGAAATATGAAGCTGAGCACTGAATTCTTGGTATTTTAGCCTAAAAACGGTTGTTAAAACCACCTCATCGAGAATAACCTGATAGGCAGCTGGACTAAAGGATTAGAAAATGCCGTTTGTAAGGTATGTGTTAAGTGGATCTAGAGTGTAATGATTATCAAAATTACGATATATTTAAGAATCCGTTGTCCACAGCAATTAGAAAAATAGTTATGTGCAACAAAACTGTGATTTACGTTCACAAGCAGAAAATTACTTATCGTATACATAAAGGTTAAACTATGTCGTTCGATCACTACTATGTCCATCTATTAGTTCACCTGCTCTTGTTGACAAAGGTACACATGCCGTTTATATAACTTACTTTGAACATTTATACGAGCACATATTTCAGTATGGTTTCACTCGAATGAGAGAAAAGAGGATAGGAATTCTGTTCATGAGCACTTAATTGACTCTAACCACTCAACCAGTCCGTTTGCTGATTTCAACGTTGTTTATAGAATTAGTTCAGATCTGTCGTTAATAAGTTTGTTTAAAAAAGACATCCTTCCGCTGATATTTGCGAAATCACTATTTAAATATGAATTATAGTCGATCGTAGAAATGAATAGAAAATACAGTTGTACCATTTTACAGCATCAAAAACATTTCTAATCATATTCCATGGTTGTCTATGAATTTTTCGATACGTATCTACGAAATTTAGGTTCATTTTTCTTCATGATTAACTAACGATCATTTTGTTTATCAATTATAATGATAACATAATGTTTTAAACATGTGAGAGAACATTTTTTTTTCTAAATTAAGCTTACTTCAATAGAGTTTCATTTAGAGAAATCCAGTTCAACAATCATATGTATTTCATTTAAAACGATTGGAAACAGTCTATTTGAGTTATTTCTTAAACAATCAAAAACAAAATATCAATCCAATGATAAATAATATAAAATGCGATCTTTTCAATTACACAGCTGTAAATATTCACATTAAATGGCGATATATTTGTTTATCTTATGACCTATCGAAATGTAGTTATGTTATTGAAGATAAATAGCGGAAATCTGACCCTTCATATTATGTGAAATATCTTGATTGTTATCTACATGTCTATAATAAATAAATAAATAATTCAAAAGTGAAATCATCATCCCTAGAGTGTCATCATTTTAAATCGTTTATTTAATTTATACTCTATTAGATTAGCCTTGTACTCATATGATTCGTAGCCTATTCACTAGAAAAAATGGATCAAATAAATTTGCTCAATAAAAAAAGTTATTCACTTTATAAATTGATAATGAAAATCCTATTTTGCTAGAATGAACTACATTTGCATCCGCATAGTTTACGTAATAGAACTATCTATCTATCCATCTATTTACTGATTTACCGAACAATCTATCTGTCTGTTTCTTTTCTCTCTCTCTCTCTCTCTCTCTCTGTATATATATATATATATATATATATATATATATATAAGCTTGTGGTTTTAGTTCTAAGGCTCTTTGTTGTCATTGCATCGTTTTCTTGTTTTCTAAAATTGGATTTATACTATGACAAATCGTCATACAAAAGAAAAAAACTGCTGTTAAGTGAATGTAATACACTTGAAGTGTCTGATCACTAGTAAACTATCCAAATGGGACGTACCAACTAATGAGCTTAGTAAATTTAATTTTATCACTGATTAATAATGCTTTTTGTGAAATTATTTGTAACCATTTATGGTGATAAATACATTAAGCAAATTGTCAACATTAACACTCATATTGACCTTAACTTTTTTCATAAACTTTTGCTGCAATAGATAAAAGTATAACAGTAACCAGAATAGGGTTATATAGAATTCTACGGTAAATACCGAGGTATGATGAGAAACATCGTAAATGGTAAAGTGAGAAATTAATATAATGAGTGAATAACGACTGTCTAACATAGTAAACAACTTTCCAAAAACCACACTTCACTTCAAATTTTCTATTCTCTGTGAGCATGTTTCTTTCTCAAGATCTCGTTTTAATAAATTTATTAAGTACTTTTTGTAGAGCATTTCGTATCCGATTCACAAACGTTTAAGTATGTTTGTTTGTTTTAAGTCATCATTAGTGTAAATCTTTACAAAATATTTAAACAAGAATTTAAAAATTCGGTTATTACATCTTCCTATTAGATTGATCTTAATAGTTGAGGACACTAATTTTGACGTTGACGTTTGCAAATTATAATTTTATTTATTGTAGGTATTTTCAGTTTGATGGTTTATAATAAAAAATATTTAACCAATCTTTACAATCAAATGTTCATTGTCCGTATATTTTATGTTGACAGGTTACGTGAACAGTTTTCTAAATCCACTTATATATGCCAAATTTGATCGTGAATTTCGTGGGCCTTTTAAAATGATACTTCTGTGCCATTGTCGTAATATTAATGCACGATTACGTGCAGTTCATTATTCTGCTCAATATGGTCTACCAAGTTCATCAAGTAAACGTCAAAGCATTGTTGTACCTTCACTTTATACACGTAATGATATGGCTTCAAGATGTCTAGGGCAGTCTGTAAATCAGAGATCTACTAGTGCGGTGCCCATAAGGCCACGTCGAAGACCTCAAATGAATTTCAGAAACGCTATTTCAGGGCGAACGGACGAAAGATAATCCTTTCTTTTTCATAACTTTTACATGTCTCGAAATCCGACATCATATGAAATAAAGCTCATAGTACATACACATACATACATATACGCATATATACGTAGATAAGTGGATGATTGAGATCAATTTTTTACACAAAACTATCTACTTTGTATTCTTTATTTGTACATTGTGATCTACTTAACAGTTTTCTCCCAATCTGTTCATCATTTTTACATTTTAAAAAAAAACAGAAAAATGTTTTTGAAAAGAAAACAAATTCACTATAATATTTTCTCTCCAATGAAATACTATTCACCAAGCATACTAAACTAATTTTATTTATTCTCAAAGAATCAACTTCATATTTTTTCTAAGTAACAAAACAGTGTTTACAGATGTATTTTTTTCTCTTTTGTAAATTTTCTTCTTGTTTGGTTTATCACATACTTCTTCTTTGTTGCTTTTTTTTTCTACTTCAAACTAGTCACATGTAATAAGCGCTAATTTTGTAAATCATGTTGAAATTGTGTATTAATTAATGTACAAAAGAAAAATAAGATCAAATAAAATAACATAGCACTGGATTTTGTTTTGTCAATAATAAACTAGAAAATATATGATACATATTCCTTTAGATTAGTAATTGTCGAGAACGTGTGTTAGGAAATAAATACCAGGTTTATATTTAGAGGACACTATACATACGAATCTTTACAATCGGTAACTGTAATAATTTTATTAAAACCAAACGGATTCTACATTCAAAAGACTTACATTTCAGTAGTATCTTTATCATTTGTACTGACGAATTATGTGAAACAAAGTGGAACTTATCTATGAATTTAAAATTATAACTTTATAAAGTTTACTCTATAACTCATGTCTATTGTTCATATGTTAGTTTCTAATATAAACATATAGCAAAAACCACATAAGACACAATATCTTTATTTACTTTCCTAAACCCCAAATATATCGCGTCTTATATGTCACAATATATATTCTTACTTATTATATATTGCGTCAAAAAGTGACTGATTTTCACGAAATTAAGTGTCTAAGTACCGGTAACAGCTGGCAACCAAAATTCAAATTGGTGGACTGAGTCTTTTTTCTCAGTGAGTGATTTGTATTCTGAAGCAACATTTGATAAAAGCACCAATAGAAAATAAATAACCTTAACATGGATTTCGCTCACCTCATTGTCACATATATATAATGGTAGCGGGTCATATATGAAGTGTTGTATATAGCTAGGTAAATTTGGATGTAATACAAAGATTATTCTGTAAATTCCCCCCCCCCATAAAAACCAAACTTATAAAATATAATATGGTTTTAAGCATATCATTGGCTACGTGATAAAATAGCATATATGACAATGAAAATCCTTTCATTTCATGACCATTTTATATTATAATTGATATAACCTGAAACGTGATTTTTGGTAATAAAGATGAAGGTTTCAATTTCTTTCGTATTTTCTTTTTCAATTTAGTTAATTAGCTTTGATTCTAACATTTTTTACCTATAGTTATGCGCTTTTCTTAAAAATTTAACCCTATTATATCTTTTCACAAGAATAGGATTTCTTTACTGGTTATAAATGAAACCATAATAGTTTCATAACAATAACCTAAGCTAATTGTTACTGGTTATTTCAAAATTACAACCTTATTTCATTTCGTTTAAACATCAGTAATAATTGAATCATTATCATTGAATTGAACATGAAATTTATTATTGAAAAATTTTTAAATTCAAAATAAACAATCAAAATCTTTATCATTTATTGTATAGAGATTTGTATTGGATCAAAAGAAGTTTTTTTGATTATGTATTTTAAACAAATTAAAACTCTGTATTCACTTAATGTTGTTTCATTGTATCTTCCTATTGATGAATTTCTTGTTGATATATATGCAACTTGTGCGGACTGCCTTGATATTCCTTGAAGTATCTTTGAATTCAATACATGATATTCTTATTAATACAAACTATAAGTAACCGGAAAATAGCTTACTTAGACTGATTGATTGATCTTTAATTAATAGTCAATATCTTCATATCTGTATTTAAATGGAAGGTAATTACCTGTTTTTAACTTATATTAAGTACTAGATGTATTGTAGAGATGAGGTATATTGTAGTTGTTGTGTACGTTGTAACATGCGAAACAATATAAACCTAGAAATTAGAAAGAAAGAACAATTTACTTAAATGATGTTTATTTACATCTACATTTTAAAGCATTATATAAATGCTTAGAACATGAAATAACACTAATGATAATTCTTCCGTTTATTCATTTAGTGAAAGTTTAGACGAAAATATTCTACTTGTTACTCTTTGTTTTTAACTAACCACAATTAGGCAATCACATAAAACGAGAAACTGTTGAGTGAAATAGACATTTAGTAATTCTTGGTTTTTTACTGATGGCTTAACTAAGATCATTCAGTGATGTAAAGAATAAAATTTAACAAAATCCATTATAACGATCGGGTTTCAAGTAATTTTTCACAATAATTTGCTATTTGATAAATGTCACCTGAATAAAACTTTTTGCTATTTGAATTTTTTTGTAATATTATTCAGTTGCTTTACGTCTGTTACTCCCAGTGAAGCATAGGCCGCCGATCAGAATTCTCCAATACACTCTGTCCTGGACCTTCCTTTCCAGTTCTGTCCAATTTTTGCTTATTTTATATTATTCAGTATATGATGCCTAATTGATAAATTCAGTTGTAGAAAATCATATTACAGTCAAATTAATGATTAGTGTAGTTGTTTATTTCACGTTATCTAAAGTTGATCAAATTAAAATAAATCATTCCTGACAGTAAAACCTTATCCAACGAATTATCTGTCTGATGGGTTAAACTGAAATGTTGAATGCTAAGACATAGTTAATAGATTCAAAAATATGCATTGAGTGACATGACTATTTATTTAACTCTCAATGACAATTGTATTTAAGTATTTATGTTATTTTCAACAAATCAACTAAGTTTTAAACGATACACTTTGTTCAAATACATAAACTTGTATCTATGTAGTGATTAACATAAAATCTACTTTTATGTAAATATAATTATTATTTGCATAACAATAAGTTACAAAAGTCACCTTTACTGGTCATGGCATTCAGATATGTCATTTCAAAACATCTTTGATAAATATCTTCGTTTTCAAACAATTGACAGTTGAGTTCACTCATTAATTTAGATAAAATAAAATGATTTTAGTAATTTCAATAGTTGAGATCATGAGTCAATTGAAGCTAGACCACAGTGGAATACCCGAAAGCACTGGTTGGACGTTTTGCCCTAGTATGGGACCCCTCAGTAGTGCGCATCCATGAATACGCTCACTGGGTTCGAACCCAAGATCTATCAGTCTCGCGTGCGGACGCTTAACCACTAGACAACTGAGCCGACCGTCATCCAGTGGTGTTAATGTCTAATTTTAACTAATTCACGAAATTGAGCGATACATCTGCCATTGTCATCAGTGAGTTACTATCTCTCAAATAACCCGGTTGAACTCAACTAGTCACCACTTCTCACTAGAACTGTAGGATTTGCAACATGAAGCCAGTCACCAGTGAGCATATGTTGATTAGTATCAAAAAGCGTTTAGTGGAGATTGTAGTCATTTCAACTGAGTCATGATCACAACTATTGAATTTACTACAATCTCCACGAAATCACTTCTGACATTAGTGATGCTGTTAAATGGTAATTTATTATTATACTTACTTCACGAAATTTGTAAATTATTATATTTTTCCCATCTCTAATAAATTTGTTTAGTACAACAAATATAGCTTCAAAGTGTTCTTGGATTCAATTACCTTTGCTTTATAATAATTCCTCATACAATATAATGTACCCCTAATAATTGATCTTGTTTGTTGTTTTTACTAAAAAAGGTAATTAAAATGATACCATATACAGCTATTCATCAATAATGAGTAAAAATTAAGATCTATTATAAATGCTTGACTGGATGGTGATCATAATATTATTCAAAAATGAGTAAAAATGAAGTTTGCAATTAATCTATTTTACTACTTCCTTTTATTTCTGTATAGTTCCTGTGTCATGATTTATTGTTGTCATACATAATCGTTCATACTAAACTTCATATTATACAATATGATGTTATGATTTATATCACATAAAACCGATATACATTATCGATAAGCTTTATCGAAATTATTGACAAGGATAATAAATTACAGAAATGTAATATGGATCATCATTAATGATAGAATAAATAGGTGCCAATCAAATTACAAAAACTGTTTTTGTTTTCAGGACTTATGAGAAACTGACTTGTTCTTTCATAATATTGTCAAACATATTTCCCTTTTTTTATTACTTTGACAGGAAATAGAAATTATAACTAATTTGTATCTTTAATGAACTTACGTAAGAAAAACTGTCATCATTTGAAATTTTTTGTAAATTTAATATCTATGTAAGTTTTAATAGAAGCGAAACTGTCATTTGTCCTAAATACATAAATGAGGATTATAGATTATAAGGAATTTCTGGATAGAATATTTTGTTTGAATGAAATATATAATAAGAATAGATTGACAGTATACTTTGGACATATTAGTTGTGATATTTTAAAAGTACAATGTAATCAATACTTTTTTAAGATGGGAAAACTTTCGTTTTACTTTTCCTAATATATCATCCCAATGTAGCTTTTCAAATGCATACCTCACCAAATTGTTATCTATCTGCTTAATGAAAAAGTTATCATTATATATCTTAATCAAAGTTTGATCAACTGAAATAAAGATTTTAATAGACAAATAAACATAGGAAAAACTAATATTAAATAGTCCTGTACTTTTGTTTTGCTGTCTCCTTAAATATTTCTTGGATTTAATTCATTTTTGTATTTCACTACAAGCCATCATCCACCTCTGCTTACTTATGTGGCTATTCTTCACTTGAAACTTTTTCATAAATAATGAGGCCATTAGGCAGTAGCAGCTTGCTTTTTGTATGATAATTTATTTAAATGTTCATAAATATGAGTTTTATCAGTTAAGTTAAAAATATTTAACATAATCAGTATTCTATGTTACTCATCTACAGTTTACCAAGATCGCGGAGGTGATTGGTCACATAGCATTAAAGTTAAGCGGACGGACAATTTAACCACTCAGGAAGCAGCATGCAGTATTAACGCAAACCACATTCGAGATAAAGATCGCACAATAAATTTCATTCAGACCAATGTAAGGTTTTATTACTTAAGCATTTTAAAGCATTTGATAATTAAACTGTAAGAAACGGAAAACGAGATGAATGCTGACGTGATTGTCCATAAGTTAATCGTTCGTTTGCAATTGTGGGATCGTAAATGCTCACTACTGACGAAACAACGATCCAGTGTTTCCAGGTTTTAAGTGGTGGTCTTACATTGATCAGTTCATGGTCTGAATTTAAAAAAACTCGGCAATCTCGACAACCTTTCACTGATAACGAAGCAATAATTTAAATTATTTTGTAGCTTCAACTTCGAATCATTTTCCTGATTGTACTTCTTCTTGTACAT